GACTTAGCTACTCAGATGCACTTGCATGTGATTTGCAAGACTGCTTCTGCAGCTCCTGCTGCTTTCTGGGAATGGGGAGAGGGAGACTATTTTTTCTTCTTGTTGATGCTGTTTTGCTGCGGTGCTGGTAGAGGGGGTCAAGATGGCAAGGCCCAGTGCACCCACCTACCAGTGTGGATCACAGTGGGTGCCGTGTGGAGCTGACGGCGGCAGTAGTGTCCCGATCGTGGTACTGCATGTGGTTCCGGAGCTGTCACTTCATGATTACCAAAGAGGCAGCAGCTCCCTTAGTGGCCCAGCTCTGCAGTGTGGCCTGGTGGATTGTTCCTGAAAGCTCAACCTGAGCCTACGTCTTTGGCCTCCCAATAGTTCAGTAGCCTTTTCATACTCTGCAATAAATCCCTTCCATTTAAACTCACCAGAGTGGATTCTGTTCTCTGCAGTAGAATCCTGATGCACAGTGCTTTATATTCTACTTCCAGTTCTCTCTCTTGCTCTCTCTCAGACTCAGGTATGAGTCTACCAGAGAGCTGGACCAGAGCAAATCTAGTGACAATCACCCACCCAGCTTAGAACTGCCCTTGCTTGCCCTTTGACAGTGAAGCATTGTCACTTGGCCAAGATTGTCTCCCAACCCCCTTCCCTTTGCATGAATTTTCTTCTAGAAGTTTCTTTAGACCCTTGTGCATGTCTGAATCCCAGTCCAGGGTGGTAAATAGATTTTCATTTCATCTGTCAACTCTGATCAGTTAGTAGTAATGGCCTGGACCAGTGTGTGGGAAAAAGTGTGAGGCTGCTTCTGGACTTAGAAGGAAAGAGTGCTGTGATCAGCTAGTGATGCCTGCCATGGCACAGAAGTGGACACTGATGATGTGCATGCTGTGTAATTGCTCACATATTTGAGGGAGAAGTGGATGAAGGTGCTTTCTGCTTAAGCCAGACTGGAGTCCATTCAGCCATTTAGTCCCCAGGCAGCTACCCAACCCTGATGCCACCCCACAGGTCCCTGACACTACCCACTGATTACCCCAACTCAGCATTTGTTCCTTGACCCATTTTACCAACTATTCCTCATGCTTCTTGATTCCAATCCCCCAACTTAATCCCTCTCCAACTTACATCCCCAGGCCAGCACTCCGGTGTTCCCACTAGCTCTCTCGTTCACCATGGTTCAAACCTTGGGAGTTGACCTCAGGACAGAGCTGGAGCTGAAATGAGCTAGTTCCATGAACTAAAGTAAGTCCACACCTCCTCCAGGAAGAGATCTGACCTCTAGGCTCCCCAAAGGCCCTCCCTCACACATCTCTGTGCCCAATCAGTGCTGGGCCCTCAGGAAGTGCTTCATAAACCCACAGATCAATGGAGGAATTTGCGGATTGCTCAGGAATGACCTCACCAACCACCGGCTTCCCTTTTCCCATCCTTGCTGCCTGCCCATTCCCGTACTCTAATACCTTTGTTGACACTGACATCTGGCCTCCCAAATCTCCAGGAAGCCCGCACGCAATGGGGCGCTGCAACCCCTCTGAGTCACCATTGAACCCAAATCCAGCCTGCTGCAGAAGCTAGCTGCTGTGGGACAAAAACTTGTGCCCTTTGGGGGCTCCCAGGCTCCCCTTTCAGGGAGGGGAGCTACCTTCTGGGCCGATAGAGGTCGGGGTGGGTGATAAGTCATTTTTAAGGGAAGAAAACAACCCCTGAGCCCACCCCACAGCATCCCCACTCTGGGCTCTTGCTCACCAGCCACACTGTTTCCACTAAAGGGAAACAGATGGTGTGGTTAATTGGGGTGTCGTAGCGGGCTCTGGCCCTCATTAAGGAGGGTGGGGACAAGGGATGATTTACCGGCTCATAAACAGCAGCTCAAGGGGAGCCAGTGCCGTCATGCCCACAGCCCCTGAGGACTGAGGGAACAGTGGACAGAGGCCACTGGTCTTGGGCCGTGGGGTCAGGCTGGAGCTCAGACGGGAGGCTCCTCACCTCTCCCTGATCGCTGGGCTCTGAGCTGAGGCAGCCTGGAGCAGACAGAGGCCAGTGACAGCTCCTGGGGGGTCCAGATGCTCACAGCTGGAGAAAGTGAACACTGACCTGGGAGGGCGGGAAGGAGGAGTGGGGTGGAGGCGGCAACTACAGAGGAGCAGAGAAACCCAGGGGAAGATGGACAGGAGCTGCTGGAGTCTGGGAGACCCCCAGAGGTGCAACTGGGGCCTGCCTCTTCCCACCAGAGCACCACAGCCCTATGCAGACAGCCCAACCCCAGAATCCCCCCACAGAGGGACGTGAAGGAAAGGCAAGTCCATCCCCCTCCCCAGGGAGCCCTGTGCCAGAGAGAGGCAGTGGTTAACAGCCAGGCTGCCTGGGTTCAAGCCCCAGCCCTGCCAATCACTGGCCTGTGTGACCTTGAGCAGCTTCCTTAACCCCTCTGTGCCTCGACTTCCTCATCTGTAGAATGGGATAACATTTCCTCATGAGAATCGCACTAGTTAATGGACTCAGAACAGCGCCTGGCACATAGTGCTGTGTGTTTGATTTAGGTTATAATTTTTAAGGTGAGAGTCTCTGTGTTGGTGAACTGGGAGGATTCTCACTCTTCCCTGTCACCAGCAGCAGCAGCCTCTGGGCAGCGTCTCCTTGCACATCCATTATTCCCAACCTCTGAATCCCCTCCCTCTCCCCACCAGGATCCTCAAGTGGCGGGAGGGACAAGGGGCTCCCACCCTGCCCAGAAAGTGACTGAGCCAGTTGCATTCTGAAGATAGCCTGGATAAGTAACAAGAATGAACATTGTGTAGTGGGCACCTGCTACGCTACGTGCCAGGCCTGATGCTGGCACTTTATCTGCACTTGCCCAGTTAGTCTTGAAGGTAGGTACCACTGTCCCACTATACAGAGGAGAAAGCCAAGGCCTCGAGAATAAGTGTCCAAAGTCACTCAAAGAACAAGAGCCAGAGCTGGGTCAGAATTCAAGACCTCCTGCCTCCAGAATCTGAGCTGTTTCCTCACAAGCGCCATTGATGTCACAAACACTGCGAGTCCTAAGATCCTTACAGACTCAAAGAATCAGAGTCTCTGTGAGTGGGACCAAGAGTCTATACTTAAATACAATAGGGCTGGCCCGTGGTGTAGCGGTTAAGTGCGCGCGCTCCTCTGCTGGTGGCCTGGCTTCAG